GGGTCACCTGGGGATTTGTTCTGAAACTGGTTGATTTGACATGGAATCACCCAATCATCTTTCAGTTTGTAATAACATTTTGTTTACATGGTACGAAAACAACTTCCAAATTGTCACATGGTGTTCTGATGCTATATATAATATCAATATCAATAGTTTTTAAATATCGCAGCATTTGAGTGTGCCATATTGCATCATTATTCATTAGTTTGGACAATGGTACATTATCTGATAGACTGTTTAGATAGCCACAATACTGTAGCGTTCATATTCAACCGTTAGTCTTTATTGTATTCTCTTACCCTCTGATTAAATTTTGTGTCCCATTAAATATTATGTAACTCCTTTAGTGCTTTTGAAATTTACGAGGGTATAACATGTTTGTTTAGTGTTACCAACACCTATTGGAAGATAAATACAATTACTGAAACTTCAACTTCAATTATTTCACTTGAATATATTATATTAACATGTGGCGTAACCAAAATAACAAAGCTTGTAAACTTGACACGCAGTTACAAATAATATTAACAAATAGAAAAAAATTGCAATAATGGATAGACCTGATGATTGACTGTAAAAGCAGGTTTAAAAACATTTTTCATGGATCAAGTGCATACCGTATCGTCTGCCAAGGGACTCATCTATTTTTGTGAGTTCTCTGTACACATTTTAAACATGTTCAGCATTAATTATTTTACCACTCTTTTGAAAATGCTGTAAAATATTTGGCGATCACCCGCAACTAGACAATACGGCTTTAACAGAGCCATTTTTATACATTTTTTTTTGTGGCAGGAATTATGTTTAGTATAGATGCCAGCATTGTTTGAGCATCTGTAAGTCTCATAGCTAGTGCTGGTGAAAACATACAATACCTAGATACCATTAAAAAAAATTCTTCTTGTAGCCAAGTCAAGATTGTCATACCATGAAGGAATTAATTTATCCATGATCATATATCGTTGTTTGTTGTCAATGACGACCAAATGTTTCTTGAGGTATACTTTTTTTTTCAAAAGAATCATAGAATATCTGAGGTTCGTTGAACCCACAACCATACGATCCGGGTACATGAATTAACATTGAATAAACTTTATTTTATATATTAAGACATTCCCTAAGCTATAGAATTGATTTATAACCTACATAATACGCACATGATTGTCATTACTACTGCATTGTAAATCCAAGGTAATGTACATCGTGCCACCTTCTTAAAGCAATTACAAATCCACTTTTATCGTTTGCAGCTTTGGAGTTATCTCTATCTGGATTCGTGAACTACAAGTATGGCGTTTCGATCTTCGTTTGCTCGAGCAGCTTTGTTAGTCATCAACCTGTTTGTGTGGGTAAATACAATCAATGCGATCTATAGGTACAAAAAGTAAATCACAATAAAATAATCCCTAATAAAATAGACATTAATGTTGTTAGTAAGTGTGCATGAGATAGTGGATCACATCATAACGTGTTGTGTTGCGGTAACTTTGTTTGGAATGGACGTATTCAGTGTAAAGTGACTAGGATAACCCACGAAACTCTGTAGAATTTCCAGTGGGGTCCTCCTGGTGGTGATTGTTTCAGTACACCGGGAGACAATTCCCTACTCTTTTCTAAAGAGTTTACTGCGTTCTTTAACGTAGACATGGTCCATTATGCACATATGCACACGGGACCCGGCTAACGGCTTAAATGTCTCATCCGAAAGATGGTGCGCTATTGTAACTTGCATTTCAGCGCCCCAGGTTGCGAAATCTCCCTATTAACACTATGATGTGACCATCATAAAAGATAATGGTATGGCCAACTGTTACCGGTTATGTCTGAAGATATTTGACAGACAGCAAATGATGAATTGATTGAAGTTAATTTGATTGATTAATCAAATCCCAAAATTTCCTGAAGAATATCCATGAGTATGATCATTAAAGGAAATCGTTACTGGTTTTGAAACCAGAATCCGGAGGAAGAAATCTTGTTGATATGTTGTACAACCGATTTTTCCAAGACACAAAAAGCATATAAGCCTAGTTGGTTCTTATTAAACTATGTACAGCAGGCCCCTTTTCATTATTCGTTAAATCGTTAAATTTGTTTTTATTCTTGAGTAAATGTTGATGATAATGAAGCATATGTGATTATTACTTTTGTTACTATTATTGTTTTGATACGTTGCTGTTATTTTCAAAATAGTTTAGTTTATTTGATCGTACACCACATAAAAACGTGCACGAATGACTTGAGTATTAATTCATTCATTTAAAAAAAAAAAGATAATTATTGACATAACTTTAAACACGTCTTGTCCTTTCGACTTCAGGGAATCGCTACGTTAGCTGTCGTCTGCGTCCAGAAGTTAGTCGTGTATCCAAACCGCCTGCTCTAAGTATACAATGGGCAGACGAATTTCAGCGCCTACGGTGAAACAATATCTACAATTCTCATAACTACTATTACTTGCCTTCTTTGTGTACGAGTGCGTCGACCGATAAGTTAAATTGCTTGACCGGAAACTGTTTTATATTTTCTCATCCGGTGAGAACATTAGACGACTGTCCAACACACACGGCATGTTTGTAAAGTGTTTCTGTTACAGCGTAGGCACGCATGTTTCGGATGATTTTTTTTTTAAAATTCGAAGTCGCACAATGTTCACTCATAATGATTAAAGGAAGAAAGAGATGTATGGGGAATACACTGCACAACATATAGGCCTATGCATAGTCCTACAATCATTATTTAAACTCTTTATGTAGCTACAGTAGATTTTCAAATGTACACGGCTGCTATTTTTCGGTACGTCTTGTCTTCGTTCTTGCCAATTAGAAAGGAAAGAAGCGTCCTAAGAAGGGACGCTAAGTCCGTGTCACATACAAACAACATAGACA